ATATATGCACACTGGGCTACGTTACAGTTAAACACTTGAAAGCAGATCAGAATTGGGTATTTATAAACCTTTTTCTAGGGGAAAAATGCATTTTTGTGCTGACAATATCTAAAGCCTAATGTGAGCATTTAGCAACTGATAAATGCTGTTTGCTTATCTTTGAAAATGGGACTCAACTCCTATCGGAGCTGACAGAACCAGTAAGATAAACCATGTTCCACTGATAGACTAGACAGAAAGTGAACTGTGGACATGATTCCATCCTCTAACTTGAGCTTTATAAAAATCAATCTCCCTTCTTTTTTTTAAAAAAGAACATTTACAATGGTTTTCATCTAATATTTTGCTTCTGGGTATAAATATCTCCCTCCCTCTCTCACACACAATTACAGTTGATAGTTTATTGCCATATGCTACTGCATTCATAATGCCATTATTACATATTGGAAGGATGAGGCAAGCAATTGTGCCAAGTTTTTTTAACTGGAAGGGAGGGCTCTTTGCATTTACTTTTGGTCATGTGAAAGTGGCCACCCTAGCTGAAAAAAGGCGTTAAGGAGAGAGCAACAAGCTATGAATCAGCTCAAAAAAGGAAATGCTGCTGCTGCTGCTGCTGTGTGCTATCAAGTCACCTCTGACTTGCAGCGACCCTATGAGTGCAAGCTGTCTAAAAGCTCCTGTCCATGACAGCCCTACTCGATTAAGTGCAAACTCAAGGCTGCGCCTTCTTTATGGATCCAGTCCATCTCAGGGTTGGACTTCCTTTTCCTTTTCTACCTCCAGCTTACCATAGCATGACCGTCTTCTCTAGAGAAAGCTGCCTTCTCATGAAGTGCCCAAAGTATGGCAGCCTCAGTTTTGTCATGTTTGCTCCTAGGGAAAGCTTTGGCTTGATGAGATTTAGGACCCACTCTCTGTTGGTCCAGGGCATTCACAAAGCTCTCTTCCCACAGAATATTTCAAATGCATCCATTTTCTTCCTGTCAGCTTTCTTCACTGTCCCTTCTTTCACACAGATAGGCTGTTATCAAGAATCCAATAGTGTGGATGATCTTGGCCATGGTCTCCAGTAAAATTTCTATGATGATATTTTCTAGTTTCTTCACTGTGGTCCTTCCAAGTCTCGGTCTTCTTCAAATTTTGGGGCTGCAGTCTCCCTTTGAATTAATGACTAAGCCAATTTATGTGAAATCTTTCACAATTTCTATTTCTTCATTATTAATCGTGACATTCTGAAATTCTTCTGTGGCCAAGATTCAACTGCAGTTTTGCATTTGTACTTTCTTATTTCACTTTTATGAGAAATCTTTTCAAGGCATTGCTGCTTTCTGCAACAGATGGGTGATATTCCTTCTGGTGAAACATTTGCTTAGGGTGGAGCACAAGCCAAGATGTGTCAATGCAGCAAGCCCCAGGATTCATCCAAAGTGAAACCAATGTTCCTTCAATCTGCCTGACTTGAATGTGGCTCCTTCTGAAACACCATCAGTAATTCAAAGGGATACAGGCATGCCAGAAAAAATGAATACATCTCTATATAACAAAACATGCCAGAGAAGGAAGGGAGAAGGGCTGTAGTTTAGTAACTGACAGCTAACCAGGCAACACCTTTAACAGGGCAGGCTTTTTATTAAGTGCCAGTCTGAAGAGGGAAGGATGCTGAAGGACCTTGTTAAAGACAGCTTCCACTGCTTTTTGTATCTGGGTGTCCATAGCAGTGGAGGAAACAGCAGCATTGAGCCCTTCTAGGAACACCTTGAGAACCAGAACTAATGGGGTGCTACCTGCCCCTGTTGCCCATACACAGGAGGGCTTCTCTTGACATCAGTTTCCCACATAGGTATGTGGAGTTCCAATGACTCCCCACAACCTGAGCCGAGTCAAGCAAAGCAACCATCACAAAATAAGCCTGTGCTGAATTAATCAATTTACTGGCATACTTTTCAGAGGGCAAAGAACTGATAAAATCAATCAGCTTGAGATTGGCTGGGTAAAAGTGCTGTGTATGTGTGCGACATTAAGTCCAAAAACATCACCAATCAATATAAAAAGAACAAATCTGAATCTGAGCGGCATTCCCTTCTTCCTTTATTATGTCCCACATCTGTTCTTTATAAAGCTGAATCAGGTGGTCAGGAATCAACAGGACCTCAGGAAGAAACTCAGACAGGCAGCATCAATTCATGTTGATTAGCAACCAGATGTTACAAGAATCTCTCTTCTTTGTAAAGCATAACACACTAGAGAAACAATTAAGAACTCATTGGACCAGCTTGCATGACACAGAAGTGGGTTAATAAGCCACAGGGGCTTCTTCACTATCCTATTTGTGCCAGACCAATTTACAAAATTACCCTTATCAAGTGTAACTTCTCATCTCATATGAACCCTGTAAGGATGGCTTGTTGGGGCAGTTAACAAACCACCCAGAACCTATGGCCTTTTGTAAAGCGAACTGTTCACTGTTTATTTATTTATTAGATTTTCATCCCACCCCATTAGCCTTAAGGCTCCCTACCCCTGCCCTTGTTGGGTTCAGATTCCAAAGGAAGTTGTGGCATGGGCTTGAACTAGCAACCTGGAACTTGCAGATATCACAGGCCAATTTTCAGTAATCTTGTGAATCAGGTTACTGGCACAAGAGATACAGTACAGTGCAACTGTGACAGACAGATCTGATATGTTGAACAGAGAAAAATGTGTACCAAAGCATTTGCAAACAAACCACTCCTTTGAAAATCTATAACAAACAGATATTCTTTTCTATATAAGAAAAGTGGGGTGGGGACTCCTTAAAAAAGTTTTCATAGTGCTTAAGCTTATCTAAACTGGTTAGGTTTTTTTAGAATGTAAGTCATGACTTCTCATGGAAACATTAGGAACACTTTTGATTGACTGACTAGAACACTTACATCAGAAATATAACATCTCACACCACTGGAGAAAACAGATAGTCCCCATCAAAGGACTAGCATTTGCTAGGCTAAAATTTCTGCAGGTAAGTGAAACCTCATCCCATTATCTGAATTCATGAGATAAATTAGCCAGAAGTTCAGAGTGCTTTCTTTTGGACCACCTGCTCTGCAAGGAACTCCACAGATACTTTTAAACCCAAGATTTCTCAAGTATGTAAGAAAATTATTACCTGAGTGTTTGAATTTTTATTTGCAAGTCTATGTGTGCTGTTTCATGCCTTCATTATTCTTTTTCTTTTCTTTCCTATCCCAGATAAACCACTTTTTATCCCTTGACATCTGGCTACAATATTTTAGAAATGAATTCCTTACTGGAATCTTCTCCATATGCTAAGGCTGCACAGTTGTTAAGCCAGGCCTTGTGTTCCAAGGAGAGTTCACAAGATTCTGTGAGATTTGGATCTTTGGGATTTGGGAAAGGAAATCCAAGGCTCCTTCCTTTTTGCTGATTTACTTCTGGAGCTGGGGTGAAGAGCAGTGTGCCTGCTAATGTGGCTTAGAAACTCCCTAAGCAGTTAGGCCTTTTAGAATATTGGAAAATAATCACTCTGTGGATTTTTGAGGAGGTCCCTTATAAAAAGGGACTTGCCTGTAAGGAAATGACTCCCCCACACTTTTCATGGTAACTCACTGTACAGATGTGCAAACTTGTAAGATTGCTCAGAATCTAGCACTGAGCACACTGTGTAATACTAGTGTACTACTGGTTGCCAATAATAACGGACCTTTTGGAGATAAAAATAAAACATTTCAACAATAGCAAAATTACAAGTCTAGCAGACCTACATCTACTTAATTTTCAACTGCTAAATATCTGAAGGAAAAAGACTTTTAAAAAATCACAAAGAATTCTGCATTCCTGAATATAGTACACCGAATCACAATTATTTTCATGTGGAATCTATTAGCTAAACTTCGATGCGCAGTCACATGCTTAATTATGCTGCACATGCAATTACATGGTCATGCCCACCTGACCTACTTCTTTTCTCCCTCTGTGCTGTCATTCAGGTCCTTTGAAATCCATTGGTCTTTTGTAGGCACCTGTTGAAAACCTTGAAGCCTAAGCAAGTGGGATCACATACCTAATTAGGGCACTCAGTTACTGGGTTTTATCCATGGAGCACAAGGGCATGTTTCTGAGAGGTTAGTCTCTCCATGTACACAGCCATCAAACTGCTGGCTTGGTTAAACTAAACACAATTCAATGCGACTGGAACCAAAGGCCAGAGAAGCAAAGGGAGATGAAAAGAAGCAATCTGAAATGTCAGCTCAGCTTCCACATATCAACTGTGATTCTGCATAGAAAATGTAAGATTATTTTGAAAGAGAGTCAAAGAACAAAACCAAAAATAAAGGAACCAAATAAGTACATCACCTACTTCACCCCGCCCCCCACACACATAATACTTCATTCACACAGACTGATACTCCTGGGATTGTGCATAAACATGGGTTAAAGTTAAAGGGATAGTGATAAAGGGAAAGGCATTGTGTATAAAGTTGGGATCCTGTTGAATCACAGCAAATATGCTCTTAAGGGCAATTTCTCACATATCAGAAAGTGAGTTATCTATTTAAAGGGCCTAATTGCACATGACATGTTCATGCTACAGCCTTTTCTCACCTCTGGGGCATGAAAGCACCTCAGAGAGGGTGATTTTAGGTTAAAAAGAGTCTTGAAGAGAAAGGATTGCATCTGTAGACTATGGCTGGCTCACAGATTGCATCTGTAGGCTACGACTTCTGCAGCTGCACTTTGTCAAAGAGTAAAACATCAGAAGAAACTGCAAGTGCTTGAGGTCACATGGAGTTTGGCCCTTCGCATATCAGGAAGTACAGAGCATAGACAATATGCCTAAAGCAATCTCCAGTCTGAACACCAAGAAGGAACAAAATCCATCATGGACAAGAACATTCACCCCATTAATGTCCCTCATTGTACATTTAGAAACTTTCTATGTAGAGTCTCTCCTATATATTTTCAAAAAGGCTTAAAAATAGATTTTAATCAGATAGACAGACCTATCTCGTTAAAGCCACTGTAGCCCAGCTCTTGCCTGCTTAGCCCCAGTTCTTCAAGGTCCAAGCATTCAAACCCAGGTGGACACTGGTAGCCTTCTTCTGAGACTTTGGAGCAATGCGTGTCTGGGATCGCTAAATTATTCCAGGTTATGTTTCTGTTGGGATAAAAAGAGAAATCTGTAAGTCCAAATGAGCAATATGCAGGCTAAGCACTTGGGGAACAGCACTGCCATAAACATTAACTATGTAAGAAGTCCACCTGTTTTGGTGGGAATTGCAGGAGATGCAGCCAGAGCCATGTTAGAAATGCCACCCTACCCCTTCAGTATTCTAGTGAGTGAAAGCAACAGAGTGAACCCTCATGGGTGAGGAATCTCTAAGAAAGGAATGTAACCCTGCAAATATGATAAAGTATATGCATTGATGGAAAATGGTGGTTAATATTTGGAGGTGGAGCCAGCTACATCCTAGTACAGTGAGGGAAGGAGAACTTCTAAGAGTGTTTGGTGAGACTCTGCTGGACTTATCAGGGTCAGAGAATCTGATTACATCCTCAGTGTTAGAGTCAGTGCAGCGTAGGGCCACAAGGTTGGTGGCCGGTTTGCAGGGGATGCCCTATGAGGCGAGACTGAGGGAGCTGGGTCTCTTCAGCCTGAAGAAGAGGAGACTCAGAGGGGATCTGTTGGCGACATACAGGTATGTGAGGGGGTGTCATGCAGAGGTGGGTAGAGACCTGTTCTCCCCTGCAGAGGAAGGCAGGACGTGCTCCAACGGAGGTTCCATTTGGATGCCAGGAAGCACTTCCTGACAGTCCGGACCCCGAGGGTGTGGAATGGGCTCCCACGAGGTTGTTGAGGCCCCATCGGAGCGGGTGTTCAAGGATAGGCTGGACGTCCACATGGTGGGCATGTCGTGAGAGGAGCCGGCTGGAGCCAGGGGTCAGACTAGATGGCCCAGGAGACCCCTTCTGACTTGCTCTGTTTCTATGTTTCTGTGTTTCAATAGTTGGTTTTAAACACTTAATTGACTGAGGAATTTTTGTAAGATGCTGTTTTATTCGACAAACTTCAGTCCCCTCTAGCTGGCCTCTCACTAAGTTTAAAAACAGAGGAAAACATGGAATTTATTCAACAAGTACAAAATGTTCCTCACATGCATACACACGTGGAATTTGCACGAAGCAGTTCCAGAGAAACCTGACTTGTTGCGAACAACCTGCATATTGCATGGCTACATTGCTCTGAAATCCTTTGGGTGGTTTGACATCGCATGCTAAGTTTTCCATCCTCTGCTCTTTCCAACTACAAGCCAAGGATCATAAACCAAAACCAAATACTGTGATTCTGATTTGTAAGGAGAGTAACAGGTTAGGTTCCCCAGGTTGGATGATATAAACAAATCCTTCCTGATTTACTCAGCAGGCAAAATAGTGGGAAGTAGCAATTTAGAAGCAAACTTATAATTTACTATATATCAGGAATCTCTGGAAACCTGGCTTAAAATTATGTGTAGCCAAAGGCAAAAATTAAAACAGTAAAAATTGGCAATAAGCAATTCCTTCAAGAATTAGAACCCCTGAAACCCTGGTTGAAAAAACTGTTAAAAATATCCAGCTGGCTTTCTTTACAAGAAGATGGTCCATTCTATATGGAAGCTAGGAAACACATTTTATAACACACACCTGAACTAAGTATTTGAGGAAATTTTGAAATGCTGAAATTAAAAAACACACTGAAATTCAGATGTAAAATGGAGTTTTTGCATTTAAAAAAACCCAAACTGTGTAGATCTAGGTAAGAATATCCTCACTGAAATTGTTTTTGGAATCAGGTCTACTCACCGGCTCCTCTACTTGCCCATTAAGGGGAATGCTAATGCTGTAGGCAATCCTTAGCCTCAGATTCTTCTGGGGTTTTACCTAAACTGCTTATATTTCATCTGTGTAGCTTTATTGTACTGAATCTAGTTATTGTTCAATAGACTGCAGCAAGTTTGTAAGGCAAGTAGAATGCTGAATCTTTCCTCTTCAGTAGTATCTGTGCAGCTTTGTGCTTCATTTTTTAAAAATATTCAAATTACTGCCCCGCATAGAAATATCACAGAAAGCATAAAATTAGCTGATGGGTCATGAACGAGAAATAATACTTGGCGGTATAGTTCCCAAGTGAGAAGCAGGCTGAGCCTGAACCTGTTCTCTGAGGAATTAGCTCTGGGAACTGGGCTTTCCGTTTTCATTAAGAACCTAGGCACAGTGTGAACTTAGCTTTATCGAATTTGCACATCTCAGTGCTCTGAAAGGAACAATGGCTCAAGTGAATAGAAAACAGCTTTGGAATGATCTGAAGAACTTATCCTCCAGCAAATTGGGATTTAATGTAGGGCAATACACTCAAGGAGAAGGAGAGAAAGTGTAGCTATACACATGAGTTAGCAATACTGGCAGAAGCAACATTAAACCAAAAGGCAAAAAGGGGATAAGTCATTTCTCTGAAAAGCCACTGCACATCATCAGGCCATTTACTTTGGACTAATCCTCTCTGTTTCACTTGTTCCATTCGTATGCCTGTCCTCACCCAAGCAGCTCTGCATGCAGGTGCTCCAAGAACTCTGTGAGGGAAGTCAGGCCAAAAGAAATGATTATTCGCCCACAGGAAACTCATGGCAGCAGAGAGTTGGAAGGGACCTAGAAGGTCTTTAGTCCAGTCTTCTCCAATAGGGTGCGTTCCAGATGTTTTGGACTCTCATCAGCTCCAGTCACCAATGGACAAGACAGTGAAAGCTGAAGTAAAGAAACATCTGTAGGGGAGCAAGATGGGCCAATCTGATCTAGTACAAATCCCTGCTTGATCTTGGTTTTGCAGTGCAGCACGCAGCTACAACATCCCTGATTAATACTATCTGCTTAAATGTCTCACCTGCAGGACAACAAACCACCTTCTGGAGTAGTTTTCACCACCAAATACCTCTCACCATTTCTCCTCAAGTCTTCTTTTCTTTTCTTTTATAACTTCTTTTATATCTTTTATATTTTTTATGTATTTTATATTGTTAATTTTAATTTTATATTGTTATTTTTGTATTTTATTGTGTTGTAAGCCGCCCTGAGGCTTCGGCAAGGGGCGGCATAGAAATGTTCAAATAAATAAATAAATAAATAAATAAATAAATAAATAAATAAATAAATAAAAGTTTAGCTGAAATGTGCTTTCCAACAAGTTCCACCAAGTGGTTCCAAACTTGCCATCTGAAACCACAGAGAACAAATCTGCCCCATCTTCCGTGTGGCAGTTGAAGACCACTACCACATCTTCCCTTCTCTTCCCTAAGTTTAACATTTTCAGCTTTTTCACCAATTCTTTATATGAATTCCAATCCCCACACCATCCTGGTCAATTTCTGCTAGAGATGCTCCAATGTGTCAAATGACCTTCTGACTTGTGGCATCTAGAATTGGATACCGTATTCCATGTGTAGCCTGATTATTAATGCGAAGGATGTCAGAGCTCTTATACCTTTAATCATTGCATGGAAAAGGGATTGTTGGGTCATGCCAATAGGACAGATATGCTGTGCCCAATTAAAGAGTGCTCATCTGGCACCTTCCCAAATTGGATGGAAGTAATTAGTGGGGTGCCACAGGGTTCAAGTCCTGGGCCCAGTGCTTTTCAACTTCTTTATTATTTAGATGAGAAAGTACAAGGAAAGATAATCAAATTTGCAGAGGATACAACACTGAGTGGAATAGCAAATATCCTAGAAGACAGAAGGAAGATCCAGAGCGATCTTGATAAACTTGAACACTGGGCTGAAACCAACAGATTATGATTCTATAAGGACAAGTGCCAAGTCCTCCACCTAGGAAAAAGACACCAAAGACATCAATACAAGATGGGGAATATGTGGCTCAACAGTACTGAACAAGAAAAAGATCTCGGAGTAGTTGTGGACAATAGGCTAAACGTGAGCCAACAATGTGATGCAGCTGCCATACGGGCAAATGCTATTTTGGGATGCATTAACAGAAGTATTGCTTCCAAATCATGAGAACTAGTAGTTTCCCTATATTCCTCTCTAGTCAGACCTCATCTGGAATACTGTGTCCAGTTCTGATTTAAGATTTCAAGATTTAAGAAAGATGCAAAAAAAATTAGAAAGGGTCCAGCGGAGGGCCACAGAAATGATCCAGGGTTTGGAAATACTGACCTATGAGACTGAGAGAACTGAGCATGTTCAGCCTTGAGAATACTGACAGTGGACATGATATCCCTCTATAAGTACCTCAAAGACTGTCACAAAGAGGAAAGTCAAGATCTCTTCCTGCTGATGCCAGAGTGTAGGACACAGAATAATCAGTTAAAGTTGTGACAATCCAGATTCAGGCTGGACATCAGGAAAAGTGTCCTCACTGTCAGAGCAATATGACAGAGGAACCAGCTGCCTAGAGAGGTGGTGGGCACTCCCAGACTAGAAAAGATTTAAAAAGAACCTGGACAGCCATCTAAGTGCGATGGTGTAACTTGGTGTGCTACAACAGCAGGAGGTTGGACCCAATGACCTTCTTGGCCCCTTCTAAATCTACTGTTCTATGATTCTATGAAAGTCCTCTTCTACACAACTGGGAGTAGCACAGAAACCTGTCCTGTCTGTGTGGGGCAGCAGACAGTGTTGGGCTGAGACTGAGGAGATAGCAGGTCAAATCCCCAGTCCTCAATGGCCTTTGAACTGGCACAGCACCATAGAATTGTTGTGAGGGCAAAATGAAAGGGGAGGAGGGCCCTATGAGCTGCTCCAAGCTTCTCGAGGAGCATGAACTACAAAGATAGCAGTAGTAACAGTAGCTTTGAAAAATAGATTCACCCTATGTCTCAGGACTTCCAAAAATAGTCCCAGGAGAGGCTGAAGCCTCCTTCCTGGTTTGAACCTGGAAGTCCTTTCAGAGTAATGCGCTTGCCACACAAAAATACTAACGGGAAGCTTTAGTATCATGTAAGAGGTTACCTTTAAGAGATAATAAGAAAAAACAGGGTGAAATGTAACACTCTTTATAAACCTTTGACACAGCTTCTTTATCCTGGTTGGCTAACAGTTTAACTATAGATGTGATGAACTTCTTTTGCTTATCTTGGGTGACAATAGAGATTTACTTTCTAGTTTT